TAATCAGAAGATTAACAAATTTATCGTAACCCACATGCGTTTAATCAGAAGTTTAACTAATTTATTGTTTCCACATGCGTACTGAATATGTATATGTAATTAGATGAGTGGATTGTTGAATCGGAAAGATTCATATCTGATATTCTCGAGGATCCTCCTACTCCAGAAGTGGCAATAGCAAAAATGAAGTATGTAAATTACATATTTGATGTTATATCCTGTATATGTATTCTATTGACATCTATTTTGTGATTTTATAATATTGTCATATTGTTCCAGGCTTGAAACTTCAGTTGGTTTTACCCCTTTGGATAATGAATATGAAGATTAGAATGCTGGGACGGCTGCAACGGGGAATGCATAATCACTGGAAGATTACCTTTCTGTATTTCTTATATTAAGTTCTGAATTTAAAGGAGTGATATCCTCTTTTTTTTATTATGTAATAAATTCTGGTTTCACAATATAATAATTATGGTGTTTTAAACTATATTCATAACTGTTAATTATTACAAATTCTTATGTAAGATATATATTAAGATGTTTTACACAATAGGTTTAACCACATAATCGTCACATCCGCAATCATAATAACTAAATAATGTTATTTTTTGATATATAAATGAAAATTAATTCTTCCAAATAATTGTAATAACTAATAATTATTAATAAATTAATTAAAGATAAATATAAAATTAAATCGCATATAGTTATCTTAAAAAAATTATCTCTTAAATTAGTTGTACTTCTAGAAATGCCCGTGTAAATTGAGAAAATTTACATTTTAATAATAGTCATTTTACTTCATCGATTTTGTAGTTCTTGGTACTTATTCATAAATAAAGAAAACTTTTGTAAATAAATTGTATTGATTTAGAACACTTCTTCTTATTCGCTGATATGTATATACTCAAATAAGAAAATATACATATTTGAAAATTAAATAATTTAACATAAAATCGTGATCTATACATTTTAGTTATTCTAGGATTTATCTTTAATAGGAGTTATTATTACTTACTAATAAAAAGGAAAAAATATGTGCACCATAGATATAATCGTTTAAAACCCTAAAAACCACGTCTTTATATATGATCGTAAGCTTACGATAATTCTCTCACCCTTCTAGACAACTAATAAAAAAACAAGAAACCATTCTATTAGCTTATAATTATAACTCGATTTCTCATTAGGGTTAAATCACAATGGGTACACATAACGCGAAGATCTCATGTGACATCTTGCTTGATTCATCCTCTATTGCTGATAACAATGGTAACTTAATGGTTTTCGTTTTTATTTTGCTTATTTTTAATATAATAAACTGAAGTTTATGCTTTTACGTGAAAATTTATCTTAATTTTTAAGCCATTAAAAGATTATCGTTAATCTTTTGTTATACTATAAATTCTTGCAAAGAGACATGTTCGTTTTTGCTTATGATGTTTGGAATAAAAATCTAAATTCAATTTTTTCTTATCTTACAGTTTTTCATAATACTGTTGATCGAACTTCATCACTTGAAACGGCATTCGAGAGATTACGCCTCTATCAATCCTATGATCGCCTCCCTAAACATCTTTCAAGATTGCATAATATTCCACATATTCACGGTATGAGTGTTATATTAAAAAAATAAATAAAAAACTCATTAAATGATAAATAAATTATATATGTCTTATTATTTATAGATACGTCGAAAATACCTTGTGGTTTAAGAAAGAGGAGTGGGCCACGCGAATTGGGTTCTAAGGTGTTTGGGTTTGGAATATTGTATTCTGAATCAGCGCATGGAGATCGCACAGATGTTCAGTCGGGTTTGTGGGATGTGCCCTGTCATCTAATCAATGAAATTGGTAAAAAATTCATATAGTAATATCTTTTTCTGTTAGACGTTACAAATATATTCATAATTTGGTTTGATATAGGACCAGATAATGAATTTGAACATGACATGATTAGCGACTCAGCTAATAGAAGCATTGGTGTTTGTAATGATCATGAGCAAAACGGTAAGTCTCTTGATCAGAACAGTCTTCAAGTTGATAATTTATTAAACATCTATATAGAGGGACGACTAATATATAAAAAATGTATAAATATATATATACGAAGGTCCTACTGGTGCTGACCCTGACGAATCAAATTACAAAAAAGATGATCCAACTAATGGTGATCGAACTGACGACATTGGTGATGGCGACATTGTAACCGATAACAAAGGTGATGGCAATGATGGTGATGATAGCGGTAGTGACCAACCGGATACTGATAACAATGATGATGATGACGACTGGTATGATGGTTGCGATGACGAAGAAGAAGACGAAGACAGTGATGATAACGATGGCGACGAATATGATGACGAGGAAGATGACGAAGATAGTACTGATAGTGATGATAGTGATGGAATTGACGAAGAAGACGAGGACGAAGAAAGTGATGATTGTGAGGAAACCGATGAAGAAAATGAAGACGATGACTATGATGAGACGAACGAATTGCTGATGGTTGTGATGAAGAAGTAGACGAGGACGAGAGTCATGATGATGTTGATGAGAAAAATGAAGAATACATGAGTGATGATGTTGATGATATTCGGAATGATGCATCGGCAGTGAAAACCGAATGTTCTGCTGATCATCAGCCCAAACGTCCATTGGGAAAAGACTATATCTTAACTATGATTTCCATGGAACATCACAAAATATTGTGGATGGTATCTTTGTTAAAGCTCCCCCTAAACGCATTTGCGTGCGACGTAGGCTCTTTACTTCAGATTCTGAAAATGATAATGGTGATGAATGTTCCAACGACTCCTCTTCAAATACAGCTATGGTGTCTCAAGAGATTCAAGCGTTTCCAATAAAAGTCATACATCTAACCGATGGTCCGTGTGAGTTTGAGATTAATGTTAAAGTTTTGAGAGTTTGGACTCATAGTTTGCACCCATCTGAAAAGCGTCTCGAGGCTGTGCTATGTGATGACCTGGTTTGTTTACTATATAGTCCAGTTTTATATATTTATATTTATAATATTTTTTTAACATATTACTATTGTGATAATTAGACTTTAACAATTTATATCATATGCTAGGGTGATAAAATACATGCCACTGTACCAACCGCATGCTATGCTTTGTTTGAAGACCAGTTTCCTGTTGGAAATTGGATTAAGATTCGCCGTTTCCAGGTTGCTCATGTCTATGGTGTTTTTAGGACAACTTCGCGTCGTTTTAAAATAGTTTTGGGTTCACATACTGTCGTAGATGGTGATAGTTTTCATTGCGAACGGAATTTTTTTGATTTTATCGACTTCCGTGTAATCTTGAATGGCACATACAGTGACGACTTTTTAGTTGGTAAGTATGTTGATATATGATTTATATTTTGTTTAAGGATAAGAAACAATAATGAGCTTACTATTGTCTTTCGTTTCAGAAATAATTGGTCGTGTTATAAACGTTGGCAAGTTTCATTCCTGGGAAGGTTATACTTTGGACCAACTGGAGGAAAAGTGCATTGATAGCGAATACCAGTTTATCACTTTCTACTTGGAGGATTTAAGGTTTGTATTCCCTGTTCAATGTTTTCTCGAATTTAACTATGTGAACAATTATAAGAATACAAGCATATATAATTTTGTGCTAATTATTTTAATCATGTAGACACGTTCGTCTCTTTTGCAAATTGACTGGCATAAGAGTTTTAAAGTTCTATAAGGATTGGCGTAGTTGGGATAGCAAAAATGTTGTTTGTGTAATCAGATGGGGAAATATTGATTATCTTGGAGGTATGTCAGTTGCATATATAAATTAATGTTTGAATATGTGTGGTATAAATTTAGTATTTTACTTTCTATTTCAAGAAAGATAACGATCTCGGCTATTCAACCAACATTGGTAGTACGGAACCCACATGTTGCAGAAGTCGAAAAATTCAGAGAAAAGTATGGCCTGTACATACCTTCCTATGTATAGTATATATAATATTATACATAACATTTTTTATTTATGCTGTTTTATTTTTATTACGCAGGATGATTAGCAGTCGAAGCTATCGTCTAGAGAATGTTCACCATCGAGATTAGATAGATACAATATTACCCATATTCATTATTCGTATTTTAAATTTATGTTTTAGGATACATTTCATAAGGTTTTTGGTTTATAAAAGTGTTCTTCGAATTCTTCATCTTTATTATATGTGAAGTTAGTATTTCATAATTATAATTATTGTTTTCGAATCATTTATTATCAATTGTTTCTCGACTATTGCCTATACATGTTCCATATATATATATATATATATTTTAAGCTAAAGCATCTTTCATAAACATGCGTATACAGTATATATATTTATATCCGAGTTGAAATTCTCAATGAAATTCATATATATCGCTATTGTTACATATATTAAAATTGCCAATGATTGTACTCATCATACTCGAGTGTCTTTTCCTTCTTCGTGGTATTTACAAAAAATAAAAACTTATGAATTATGGAAATTATGATTATTTTAATGAAATTACAAAAGTATAATATACGGTTATAGTTTGAAATATATTTATAAAAAAAAATTGAAAAAAGGATTTTATAAAAAAAAGGAAATTGTACAAAAGATGCTAATTTCATTATCATTATAATGTTTATTTTATGTTTATGTTAAAATGACTGAAAACATAATTTCACACAACTGATTTTTGGATATAAATAACAAATATACTTATATGAGAAATGGAATAAGTAAAATTTACATTTAAATTATGTTAAGTCTTAACATTGAACTGGATATATAGAAATCAATAAAAGATACGATACTCTATTTATTTGCATCGATCCAAAAGACCTAGGGTTTTTATCAATTCTTATATATATATATATATATATATATATATTTATGTACGTCTGATTAATCTTCCTCATTAAATCGGTTCAAGAATTTTTGGTAAAAAGAAGAAAATGGAGTCGTCAATAGATAATAGTGACAATGCAGTATCCGTTATTGTTTCCGTATGGTGAAGATGGTTTTAGATTAGGTATTGATATTGGCTATGTTGATACATCTGGAAGGAAACGCACAACCGTGACAATGCGCGAATTTTTCGCATTTCGCATTCAAGACAGGCATGGAGAATCCCCAATCATTATGATGTCTGGGAGATTGTATCAGCAGTTTCTGGTTGACGCATATACGATGGTAGAATCAAATAGGCTTCGTTATATATGGCATAATCAAAAGAAGCTACGGTGTGACAGCTTTGATAAGATTGAACAATCTGGTGAACGTGGCAATAATGATCTTTCTGAACAAGGAAAAAAGGTGCTTATACCTGCTTCATTCACGGGAAGTAAGAGATTCATGAGGAAACATTATCTAGACGCGATGGCCACATGCAAGTACTACGGATACCCGGATTTTTTCATAACAATTACTTGCAATCCAAAATGGCCTGAGATAACGAGGTTTTTGGAAAAACATGATCTAAAGATCGAGGATCGACCAGATATTTGTTGCAGGATTTTTAAAATGAAGCTCGATAATTTAGTGAATTATCTAACGAAAGACCACGTTATGGGCCACGTTAACTCAGGTATGTCAAAAAGATTATCTAATTCGATTTATTACATGTATTTTTAACTTTTTCTAATTGTTTTACTTTTATTTCAGCGATGTATACCATTGAATTCCAAAAAAGAGGATTGCCACATGCCCACATGGTTGTTTTCTTGAAACCCGAATCCAAACTACCAACAGGCGAGGACATAGATAGATTTATATCAGCAGAGATACTGGACAAGGACTTGGATCCAATTTTGTACGAAATTGTTGGAGACTTGATGATACATGGACCATGCGGTGATGACAATCCAAAAAATGTTTGTATGCATGAGAAAAGATGTACAAAATTCTTTCCTAAGCCTACTGGATCAGTTACTAAAATCGATGATGCTGGCTTCCCCATCTATAGACGTCGTATGGATCAAAGAACCATTCTGAAGAGGGGTGTTTTGTGTGATAACCGATATGTTGTCCCATATAATCCAGATCTCTTAAAGCGTTTTCGGGCACATGTTAACGTTGAGTGGTGCAACCAAACCAGGTCTATAAAGTACCTATTCAAATATATAAACAAGGGTCCAGATTACATTAGAGCAGCAATCGAGGATGAAGACGGTAACCCCGTTATATCCCAAGATGAGGTTGAGCAACATTACAATTGCAGGTAACTTTGCGAAACTAATTTTTAAGACTAGATCGCTTCAATAATTACTTAAGTATGATTTTAAAAAAAAACAAGATTATTTATTTCTGTTTGATTTGCTCATTCTTAGATACATTTCACCGTATGAATCTTCATGGAGGCTTCTAAAGATTCCTACACAGTACCGAACCACGGCAGTAATGCAACTTTCGTTTCATTTGCCTGGTAAACAATTGTGTATATATCACGAAGGAGAGAGCGTTGACCAAGTCTTAAACAAGGCATCGGTAGGTCAGTCACAATTTCTAGCGTGGATGGAGGCAAACAAGGAACATGCCTTGGCAAAGGAGCTAACATATGCTGATTTCCCAACAAAATTTGTCTGGGTCTCAAAGCAGCGGCAATGGAGAATACGAAAACAAGGTTTTGCCATAGGCAGACTGGTGTATGTCTCACCTTCCGCTGAAGACGCATATCATTTGAGGATTCTTCTCAATATAGTCAAGGGCCCTGAGAGTTTTGATGACTTAAAAAAGGTTAATGGTGTTATATACTCTTCTTTCCGAGAAGCATGCTTTGCGCTTGGTTTGTTAGACGATGATAAAGAATACATCGAAGGAATTAAAGAGGCCAGTTTTTGGGGAACTGGAAAGTTTCTTTGTAAACCTTTTGCTATAATGCTTCTTTCGAGTAGTGTAGCAGTTCCGATCAACGTCTGGAATGGTACTTGGAAAATATTAACTGAGGATTTCTTATATCAGAAAAGGCGTGAAGAGAATGACCCAGGTAAGATGGATTTGAAATTTTAAACTATTTTACAAGATTCACATTATCTTAGTTGCTAACAGACTTATTTGTATATCTAGGTTTGGTGTTGACTGAAGCCCAATATAAGAATCTTGGTTTATCAGATATAGAGAAGTATATGCGCAGAAACGGTCATTCATTATCCGACTATAAAGGAGAGATGCCAGTCCCTGATGATATTGGAAAGTATAAGAAATCAAATCATCTAATCCGGGATGAGAAATCATACGATCGTGCAAAACTTGCAAACGATCATGTCAAGTTGTTTTCAACAATAACCAATGAACAGAAGGATATCTACAATGAGATAATGGATGCAGTTACAAGAGGTATCAGTGGAATGTTTTTTGTTTATGGATATGGTGGGACAGGTAAAACGTACCTTTGGAGGCTTTTAGGTGCTGCTCTTCGTTCTCAAGGAAAAATAGTTCTCAATGTTGCATCAAGTGGCATTGCAGCATTGTTATTAGAGGGAGGAAGAACAGCGCATTCTCGGTTTGGAATACCCATAGTTGTGAACGAGTATACATTCTGTAATGTGAGTTCTGGATCACACCAACCAGAGCTGATTGAAGCAGCCGATCTTATTATATGGGATGAGGCTCCGATGATGAGCAAGCATTGTTTTGAGACATTGGATCGGACTATGCGTGATATACTAAAGTGTGATAAGGTCTTTGGTGGAAAGGTCATTGTTTTGGGTGGTGACTTTCGACAAATACTCCCTGTTATTGTCAGAGGCAATAGCTCAGAGACTATATTGGCAACTGTGAATTCTTCTCATATTTGGTCTGATTGCAAAGTTCTGCAGCTAAAGACAAATATGAGACTGCTTTGTGGCGATAATGATTTCAATAATCAAAAAATTGAAGAATTCGCCAAGTGGATCTTGGATATTGGTGATGGAAAACTAAATATTCATGATACCATAGAAGATGAATTAGAAATTCCAGCGGATTTGCTGATAAGCGGAGAAGGTGATCCTGTTAAGAGAATAGTCTCAGAGATTTATGGTCAATCTTACACAACCACTCGTGAACCAGTTTTTTTTTCAGGAAAGGGCAATACTCAGTCCACGGAATCAAGATATCGACGTTATCAATGAATTCATGCTATTAGAACTCAAAGTTCTTCGTTATATGATTTATCACAATTCTTTTTAATACGTAATTATATTATAATTAAAATATGTCAGTACTAACATAGTTTGAATTGTTTTTATTAGGTGAGGA